CGCGTTCTGGCCACATGCTTGTTTAAGGTTCGCAAGGAGGTGTCGATCGAAAATTACATTCCTAAGACGTACGTACAACTGAAGTGTAGTGTAGTCGTCGAATGTATTACAATCTGATATGTGTTCATAGACAGTCGATGATAAAAAGTTAATCAATATGTCTAGCTTGTGTGAATCTTCAGCCTTGACGCGTTTCAGGAAGGCTTTGAACGTTCGAAGCCAATAGATCCGCTGTTTTGAAGCGTCAGGAGCGTGTCGAATTTGTCAGGACGGAGGTAACGGTCCATCAATTAATAGGCGAGTAAATTGTTACGGACGACAACAAGCGAGTGTTTCACCGCACACGTTTTGATATTTGTTTGTATTGTTTGTTGTTTTTTTACGGGGCACGGGATTTCGATGAGCAGGCCGTACAGCATTCGCGCCACTGACTTCTATTCTGGGACATATCTCTCAGCGTCTCTAACCAACGACAATCCTCATCCCTTGGGCCCCAACCTGAAAGGTGGGCTGCACCGATCGAAGCCAAAGCTGAAGTCAGCTTCTTCTTGCGTCTAGCCCATGTCATGGTTTGACTGTAGCGGCGTTTCTTCCAGCCTTGCCCGACGCGTGCGAAGAGAGCACGGAAAAGGTAGTCGATGGGCAGGCATACCCAATACGTGACCCAGCCATCGGAGGCGGTGTAGAGCGATTACGTCTGTTAACCTCTTCATTACTCACCCGGTTTTCCCACCGGACGAGCAGTGCTTCGGAGACATCGGTGGTCAAATACAGAAAGTCGACTAGCGTCCTCAACGCGTAGGGCCAGGTCTCGCAACCGTAAAGGAGAACGCTACAAACCGCTGCGATGTACACGCTTCCCTAAAGGGACAAGCGGATGTCATGGCGGCGCCACGGGTGTCGCAGGTTGGCGAAAGCTGCTCTAGCTTTCGTTATTCGTGATGTGATCTCCTCCCCAACACCCCCACCAGCTGCGATCAGGCTCCCGAGGTACTTATAGCTCTCATCCACTTGCAGCTGATCACCACAGATGGTGAGTGCAGGCACAGGCTCCTGCCAGTCTTGAACTTTGCACTTGGAAGGTGCAAAGCACATCCCATACCTGGATACCTCGATCGCCAGAGCAAGAGAGAACAGAACTCTCTAACCAGCTTAATTCCGCCATCTTTAAATAGGGCTGGGGAAAGGCCATCAGAGCTCGGTGCTTTGTGACGTCCCAAGGCTTGGATCTCCTTATGGATTTCCGCCTCAGAAGGTGAGTGTGTTGAGACAGAACATGGGACGTGTGCCGGAATAGCTGTGAGAAGCTGACGCTGGAGGCTAGCTTTGAAGTGCTCCGCCCAGCGTGCAAGACGTTGCTGTTGATTGTGAATGGGCGAACCGTCAGCTTCGCAGATCGTTTCGCTCACACCCAAGGCTTTCCTACCGGTGACCCGGATGGTATGAAACAGCTTACGGGAATTATCCGTCTCGACAGCACGTTCCATCTCTAACGCGCGTTGAGTCCACCAGATCTTGCGGCCCTTGCGTAGGCTTGCATTAAGTTTACTTCTCGTTACGAGTCGTGTTTCGTTATGCTCGCTGCCGGTCGGAATAGACCGACGCGTCAAGAAGGCGTAGGGAGTCTGCAGAAATCCAGGGAGTCACGGCGCGACGTGTCAGACCACAACTAACTAAGCCAGCAGAATGCACAGCATTCTTGATAAGCGAACAGTGCTGGTAACGCCATCGGATGGGGTTGGTACTAGCTTTGCAGCTGGTGCATTTTGGAAGACAGTTGGAGAAGCTAGTTTGAACAGCTTATCACAGTCTACCCGTCGTTGTGTTGTGCGTTTGGGACGCCCACCAAAGCACATGGACAGCTTAGCGCATACTAATGCGTGGTCGGATTCGAAGGGAGTGCTCCAATAAGATCGGAAGTCTTGAATGCAGCCCCACCATTTGTGGCTTATCGCGAATTGGTCGATCTGCGTCCGTCTCTGAGGGTGGCGCCAAGTGGCGTACCAGCATTTGGAGCGTCTGAAGTTCGCACTGGCGAGGAACAGGCGGTGGTCGGAACAGAAAGCCAACAGCTGCTCCCCTTTTTGCGAGCGACAGAAATCTAGTCCGAATGGACCTCCCAGGTGCACCTCACTCGAAGTCAACCGGCCTAAACCAGCATTCATATCTCCTAAAACCACGTTATCAGCCCAAGTCGCTTTATGCAAGAGGTCGTGTAGATTGTGATAAAATTCATCTTTGACTGCATCTGGGCTGCAGTCTGTTGGAGCGTACGCCAATACGGCACATAGGTTTCGCCTATCGTGGCGACGGCTGCTTACCTCTGAGTCCCACTGCGCACAAACTACTGTCGACTAGGATCCAATCCTGGAGGGGGGCCTCAGCTCTCTTATTGAGAACTACACCGACGCCAGCAAAACCGAAAGCCGCAGCCTCAGGGTCCCCAGAGAGGCGTAAGTGAAACTTCACAGATTGGTTAGATAGGGGACGTCAATCAGACAATGGAGCTGGAGTCTTGAATGCGAGTTTCTTGGATGCAACACACATTGATGGCTAGGGTCTCGAGCGTACGACCTAAACACACCTGTTCTCCTATACGCATCAGAGTACGCACGTTAAACGTGGCTAGTTTGAAAGGACGTCGAGGGCGGAGAAGGGCTTAAGTTGGTGGAGGATTCGGTGAGACTTGAACAGCAGTCGAGGTAGGGCAAGAGCGATCAGCGGCAGAATTTCCGCCTGAGGCACTACTGCTAGTACGATCGTCGGAAGTACCCGAGAGAGATCAAATAGAGTTGGGAGGGTAGAGGTGAGGTGGGGAGAGGCTGGGAGGACAAAAGGGTGTGTACGGTGTAGAAAGTCTTTCGATTGTTGAAGGTTTAGAGTGTGAAGTCATGAGAGCGCGAACGTTCATAGTTGTCTGAGATGTGGGCTATTGTACTACTCGGTCACCCAGTCCAGAGTAGGCCGTGTTCGAGGTTGCACTCTAGCCTTTGCGCAACCACGTGCGGACCGCAAAACGGCAGTGATGTTCCGGCCGGTGGCCGGTTTTCGGTTCATTCGCCTCTTCTGGAAAACCTTGTCGGGCAAAGGAACTCGACAAGGGGCTATGGCCATATTTAGTGGTGGGCCACACTCACCATGTCACAGCGCTGTCCACAGAGGTTTGTAGTGTTTTCTGCGAAGAACCCTTGCCAGGAGTTGAACCCAATACA